CAGCCGGAACTTCTGGGAAACGTCGGGTGTTCTGACGACCCACAACACAAAAACTATATCTAAGAGTTCGTGGGGGTGCTTGAGTGTCTCTCTTTTGATTTTATTTTTATGCCTGAGCACTCTATCTTAGGAGACCACCTAAATTTGCATCCTTCTTTATAGTACGCCAAACCTAAACCCAAAACAAGAATATAAAACTTTGGAGAGCGTCTTAAGTTCATCCGCCTTTTATAGTTCAAGAATTGAGGGACACCATTTTATCTAAAACAACTCTTTAAAACTTTTATGGGACCAAAGCTGCAATATATCAATAAGATCTCATTAGTCCCTAATTTGGATGTCATCGATACACCAAAACCCACAACGGGGGCAAATGCACTTTCACGCTGCCCAGCTCCGCGTCGCCGACGAGCACACCGGTGACCTCCACGCGCCACCGCCACCCATGCCGTCCCTACCCCTCCCTCTGTGTGTTGCCGTCCAGCTCTGCGTTGTCAGTGAGCTCCGCGCCGCCGACAAGCACACCAGTGACCTCCACGCGCCAACGAGCCTCCATTCACCGTAGCGGCAAGGACATGTTTGCGCTGAAAGAGCATGTTGCAAACATGTGTTTTAGGTGTTTCAGAGGTATTTGCAAGTGTTTTATATCGATGTTGCAAAAGTAGATCGAGATGTTGTAAAACTAGATCGGAATGTTGCACATATTGCAATAGCTATACACATATGTTTCAAGTGTATGTTCCAAATGTTTTATCTATATCAGACGTATGTTGCAAGTGTTTCATCTGGAAGTTGCAAAAGTAGATCTGAATGTTGCATATGCAAGCATGTTGCAAGCATATGTTTCAAGTGTTTCAGGTGTTTCATACGTATATTACAAGCGTTTCATCTAGATGTTGCATATGTTTGCAATGGCTTTTAAGTGTTTGCCAAGTGTTTTGCAAGTGTTTCAGACGTATGTTGCTAGTGTTTAAGCTGTTCTGGACGTATGTTACAAGTGTTTCATTTGGATGTTGCAAAAGTAGATCTGGTGTTAACACATGTTGCAATGGACTCACCTACTGCAGCTGATGGGTGATGCCCGGGCGGCGCAGGCTCCATCTCTCTTGCACGTGTGACACCATCGGACGCTAGCGCTCCAAATCGGACGTCCGGGCGCTAGCAAGTCCGATAATATATGGGTGATGATGCGGCCTGACTATTTCACGAACGTTCACTGGAATTGAATGGGAACAAATTTCCGACATGCAGTTACTTCCTTTTTGAAAAAATAATTCCACCTCTTTTCCATATTTGGTTGGTGTTGCGCGTGCGTGCTCATTATTGTTTTCGCGTGCTCTGCTGCGCACGAGCGGGATCAGCGAATCAACGATCTAGCAGCCCAGCAACTTTCTATTTTTGGAAAAAATATTTCCATAACTTTCCTTACAAAGTTATATTCATAACTTTTACGTATAATTTGTGGAACAAACTTCATCATATAACTTATATACATGATCGACCTCAACATATACCTTCAACGACGTGACAAAGTTACGCACATAACTTATACATATAACTTACTACGTGATAAAGTTATACGCATAACTTTTATGTATAATATTTTGTGGAACAATCTTATCAATATAATTTCTTTGAAAGCTAAAAAAATTATACACAAAACTTTTATGTATAACTTGTTTGTATACTTAGATATATAACTTGATGAATGACTTAGATGTAAAGTTCGACGTATAAGTTATATTCAAGAACTTAGATGTACAAATTAATATCATAACATGTTAGTAGAAATATGAAAAAACTATGTATGAAAATAACTATGTAGTATAACTTATAAGTTACATGAACAAATTTAGATGATAACTTATAGTATAATAATAACTTGTTTGTATAACTTAGATATAATACTTGTTGAATGACTTAGATGTAAAGTTGGACGTATAAGTTATATATAAGAACTTACATGTACAAATTAATATCATAACATATTAATAGAAATATAAAACTAAAAAAACAAAACATGGTGCACTAATTTATATTATTCATCTACAACTTAGTATATAGATACATATATAATCATGTAAAATAGATAGATTAATGTATAAAAAATAAAAAAGATAAAGAAAAAAGGAGAAAGATGGATGTACCGTGTAACAGAAAGAGGCAACTAGCACTTGCGCGTTTCGGTATTGAATGGATCGGCACTGTGTAACAGAATGAGGCAAGGAGCAACGTACGTGTGGTAGAGAGTTTTTTCGCCCGGTTGGATCGTTCGCTCGATCAGAAATCAGTGAACGACCGTGGGAATGGAATTGGGGTGATGATGATGAAAGGAAATAAAAAATTATGTGATCTGAAAAAAACATGAGCCCACGTCTCCCTATGGACTTAGCATGGGTGGCTCTTAACCCGCTGTCGACCTCCCTCACCGCTTTCCTCCATCTCGCCATCAGCCCATCACTAAAAAGCAAGCCACGCGTGGAAGCTCACATGCACGGTGCCAGTAGGAGTGGATGCCACACTGCTCCCGTGACCACTTGGCTGACGGTGAGCACCCATGGAAACATAGTTAGCGCCAACGGTGCAGGGTTCTCCGGATGACCAAGCCTTAATTTTTCTTCCTATCTGAAATATATATCTGTCCTTCCCTGCCCTTCTTGTTAAGAGCCAAGCAGGGACAACCCTTTAACTAAATGTAAAACCTGATAGAGAAAGTTCCCCGGACCAGATACGGAATTTCGACGAAGAGTTCCCCGGGCCAAAGCCTGCTGAACAGAAAAATGCTGCAAAAAAAACTTGCGCATCCAAGTAAATTATCGATCTGGGCAATTCTCACGGTCTATCTCTGGCTTCTCCAGCTTCTCTGGTGGAGCTAAAACCGTTTTAGAAAAAAAAACGTCGAACAAAAACGATTCTAGTGCAGTTTGGGTGCTAAGGAAGGCCACTTTGTTTGTGCTTGTAAGCTCATACATATACTGAGGTATAAGTGAATTGTTTATCTTTTTGCTATATATATATTAGTTTAAGCTTTTAGATTAAACTAATTGATCCATACAACTTAAAATGATATTAGGATATCAAAGGCCTTGAGCTCAAATCCTGACTACCGCAATTTAAATAAAAGAACTGGTGTTCAGTACCCCAGTCACGTTCAATTTCTATGGCCTGAGGGAGCCTTCAGGTGATAGGAAACTCAATAGATCGAAAAAAGGGTACAAAAAATAGAATTATAAAACTCGAGAAAGACACAGATGCATTGAAATGATACATGAATTCTGGATCTCCTAACTTATTTCCTTTTTATTTTAGAAAAAAAATCAACCATGAAGATGATCGATGATCTATCTATATATTGTGTGCATTTGGATATGATGCAAGGACTGTGCGTGGTTACAACAGGAGCAACGTTCCCTCCATGAGCTAGTACAGTGGCGGAGCCACCGCCCGGCCACCTCGGGCGGCCGGCCAGGCTCCTCGGCAAACTTCAAAAGAAAATTTTCTATGTATCAAAGAAAAATGTTATAATTTGCTAGGTAAATATTCTTGCGCAACGAGAATCGCTCGGGCTTCGAAAAACTTCTGGCTCGGCCACTGAGCTAGTATTGAACTTTCTAGGATTCGAATCAAGCTCTCACAGCACTATAACACGTGCCCACCAGAGATTCCTTATTAAACCTCCCTCCGGAATTAATCCTGCAGCAATCACGGCCAGGTGCATCCATTCAAACTAGCTCTCCTTGCAGAACGAATGCATGCATGTGCCTTCAGGCGTGTGTACACGTACGAGGAAGAATAATGGAGAGCATGCAGAGATCAGAAGCCAGCGATTCCATCTTATAAATACCAGGCACCACATATGTGTATTCATCGTCCAAGATAGGTGAAGTTCAAAACGTGTTTTAGGGCTTGGAGTTCTTGGTTGGTTGTCCCCTGGAGTTCCCTGCAAACACTTCACAAGCTAGACCATTGTATGCCCTTGCACAATGTGGTATCTGATTACCTATCTAGCTAGTGAAGTGTTTGGGGGAACTCTAGGTGTTACCCAGCAATATTTCATAGGTGTGTGGAACGGTATGTAAAATGTATTGGTAATAAGGAGGGTCACGCTTGGTGTTACCAGGAGTTCCCTTCAAGCACTTCACATGGAGCTTTGCATTGGCGGATGTAGTCTTGAGACCAATGTGAAGTGTTTGGGGGAACTCTAGGTGTTACCCAGCAATATTTCACAGGTGTGTGGATCAATAAAAAGTCTTGACAAGGAGGATTACGCTTGGTGTTATCAGGAGTTCCCTTCAAGCACTTCACATGAAGCTTCGCATTAGCGGATGTAGACTACACTTCGACAAAACTACGCAAACTCTATCACGCGATGGTTCACGCGTTCGTGCACTCGCGCGACCCATCCGTGTGACGCTCGCCGGGAGGAAGAAGAAAGGGTTACGGTTTCGGAGTTAGGGACTCCACTCACTAACGACTGTAGAATAGGCTTTGGGGGCGTCCCTAACACGACAATAGTGGCGGGCGAGATGGCGGCCAGCGGGGCTGGTGACTGGGGAGGCGCGATACTGGTGATTAGGGGAGGACAGGGTCGAGAAACGGAGGTGGAGGAGGGAGGCACGGCGAGGCAACAGGAGCCACAGCTGCGGGTGGTGGAAGCCAGGGACGGGGCGAGGACGACGCCGGCGAGGTCCCGCACTCCTTAAACACGCGATACGTCACGCGTTAACTTCACCCTAGGACTGTCCGCGTCAACTTGATATACCAGGTAAACGGAAGAACTGTAGCAAATCTGACAAAACTGTCAACAAACTAAAAGCCTCCTTTTTTTTGACAACAAACTAAAAGCCTCCTTGATCTTTGTTCAGCAAAGCGAACCAAAAGAAGATACTCCAATCATATTTTATTGCAAGCACAAACAAAATCAGACGTACATCCAGATGCAATTTAACACTAAATGATTGCATCCAGGGTAGCGCGGTCAGACGATTTTGCCTCACTTATCATTGCAGCAGTGAACTCTCTATATCACATCCAGTTTCAGACGGCACTGTCAGATCGGCAAACATGTTGTCCTCCCTATTCTTCGCCCACAGCACCACGTACAGTCCAACAAACATGAGCACAATCCCCACAAAGCTGCAGCAAGGAAACGATATGAACATCATTAGGTGTAGATAAGTATGCTGGTTTGCTGGACTCGGCTCAGAATTCAGAGGATGCAGCAGCATTGCATCCCTGTAATGGACGTGCATTACCATCCCAAGCCGATCCAGTGCCCGAAGAAAATGAAGGAGATGAACGCCGAGAAGACCGTCTAAAATGGGTTGAACATGGACATGAGTACAGGCCCCTTGAGCCCAATGCTTGATACCTGGAATGACGTGCACAGGTCGATCACCACGCCTCCCTACAGTAGCAGAAGTAGTCGTTTCATTTTCTACAGTCTTCGATTGCAGTTCTTTAAGTTACAAGAACGCAACATGCATCATCTATTGAATGTCTGAATTCAGCAGATATAGATAGAAGTGTACCACAAGCACAATTTCGCCAATGATCCTGGTGAGGTTGTCAGCGGTCCCTGCAGTGAGCTTCCCCTCCATCAAGACCTGGACGATAGCACTGAAGATCGACCCCATCATGGCAGTGATGGAACAGATTGACAATGGTGCAGGGAATCTCTTCAGAGCTACAGCCTAGACCAGCAGCACCACATTCAACTAGACATATAATTCATACACATATAATCTTTGAAAGTCTACAGAACCGTGACTATTGCTTAATAAAAATTATGAAGTTTAGATACAAGTACCTGCACGACAGTGTTGCAGGCGAAGATTATGACCCCAGTCAGAAGACAGAAACATCCAAGTATCCAATCGTGCCTGCCTTTGCCATCTGAGAGCTCTTCATCATCGCCGGGAACCGATACGCTGGGAGCGGGGTTCTTCATGAAGCTGACGCACATTGCGCCGCTGAGGCACACCAGAGTGCCCAAGATCTTTGCTCTGGTGTGTAAAGTAATCTGCTGCTCTCCCATCTCTGAACGCGCGGCAGGGGCAGACGCCGAAAGGGCTCCCTGCTGCTACACTGTAGCCGCGGTAGGGGCAGGCGCCGAAAGGCTCCCCTGTCGCACTGTAGCCACAGGAGGGGCAGGAGCCAAAGTCAGCCCTGCTGTCACATCTAGTCACTGTAGCAGCATGGTAGCCTGGCATGTCTGTGTACTAGGATTAGATGGGTAGAGTTGTATATGTAGCTTCCCACTGCAACTCAGTAAAGTGAGCGAGTTCAGTTTTGCCATCCCCTCAGCAGAGCTCTAGCCAACGCTGGTGCTTTTGCTGTGTGTGTGCACTCTGTTCTCCCTCCCTTCTTCTACTTCTAGCCATAGTGTGTGGTCGGCAACGTCAGTGAGCGATCGGCTCACCCGTGCGGGAGATCCCTGTTCCAACAAGTGGTATCAAAGCCGTACAAGCGCCATCGCCGGACTAACTGCTGGCGATGACGGACGGTTTGGAGATGGGTGACAGCAGCGGCGCTGCTGTGGCTGCCCAGCCACGATAGGAGGTCATCGTGTGCACGTTGCGGGAGGTCAACGGCACTAGTTGGCCGACGCTGACTCGCGCCAGCTATGGCGAGTGGACGGTGACCATGAAGGTCAAGCTCAGAGTCCGACGGCTCTGGAATGCCATTGACAAGGGCACCGACAATGAAGAAAACGATATGTCAGTGTTGGAGGCTATCCTCGCTGCTGTGCCAGTAGAGTACAAGGAGCCATTGGGGGCGAAGAACTCTGCTAGGGAGGCATGGGAGGCCATTGCAGCGATGCGCGTCGGCTCCGATCGCGCAAAGAAGGTGACGGCCCAGCTACTGAAGCAGGAGTACGCTAACCTCAAGTTCAAGGATGGTGAGTCGGTGGAGGACTTCTCCTCCGCCTGCAGTTACTCATCAGCAAGCTGAGGAGCCATTGCGTCACCATCGACGAAGAAGAGGCGGTCTCCAAATACCTTCACTCCGTGCCGGTAAAGTACATCCAAATCGCTCTCTCCATAGAGACGATGTTGAACTTATCCACCCTCACCATTGAGGATGTGACAGACCGCCTGTGGGTAGTGGACGAGCGCATGGAGCAGGCCACAGCAACGATGGACAGCGGCAAGCCGCTGCTGACAGAGGAGGAGTGGGCTGCCCTGATGAAGAAGTCCGAGGAAGCGTCCTCTAGCCGCGGTGACGATGGCAAGGCGTCTTTGGAGGAGGAGAAGAAGAAGGTCGACCCCAACTTCTGCCGGTGCTGCGAAAAGATGGGCCATTGGGCAAAGGAGTGCCCAAATCGTAAGCAGGAGAAGAAGGCTAAGGCTCATTTAGCGCAGGCTGATGAGGATGGTGAGGCCACTCTCCTGATGACGATGTTCTATGCACTACACGACGTTGAGGCCAAGGAGAAGAGAGAGGTGATGGTGGTGGAAGGGCACGGCAAGGCTCTGAAGGCTGTCAACCTCAACGAACAGCGCGCCCAGATCCACCTCGGATGTGTGGGCAGCGAGCAGGAGCAGCAGTGGTACCTGGACTTCGGCGCCAGCAACCACATGACGGGTCCAAGGAAGCCTTCTCTAAGCTCAACGGCAACGTGATCGGCACGGTGAAGTTCGGTGATGACTCAAGGGTAGCGATCCGAGGGGGCGGCACAATCATCTTTAGATGCCAGAACGGCGAGCACCGCGTGCTGACGGATGTATATTACATCCCGCGGCTGCGTTCAAGCATCATCAGCATTGGCCAACTGGATGAGCGCGGCAGCGAGGTACTGATCAAGGACGGCATCCTCAGGATCAGGGACCTAGAGCAGCGCCTTCTTGCTAAGGTGAAGAGGTCCTAGAACTGACTGTACCTGCAAAACTTGAAGGTGGAGCAACCGGTGTGCCTGACAGCATGGCACACTGAGGAGCCGTGGCTGTAGTATGCCCGGTTCGGCCATATCAGCTTCGACACGCTCGGTCAGCTGGAGAAGATGGTCCAAGGGCTACCCCACATCAAGCACGCAGGTGAGCTGTGTGACAGCTGTCTGGCCAGGAAGCAGAGGAGGTTGTCATTCCCAAAGGCGGCCAAGTATCGCGCAGCGGACGCTCTCGAGCTCGTCCACGGCGATCTCTGCGGGACAAACACGCCATCCACAAACGGTGGTTGATGGTATTTCTTCCTGCTTGTGGATGATTACAGTCGCTATATGTGGCTGCAACTCCTGACGAGCAAGGACGAGGCAGCGGAGGCGATCAAGAAGTTCAAGGCACGCGCGGAGGCGGAGAGCGGCAAGAAGCTGCACGTGTTGCGGACTGACCGCGGCGGTGAATTCACTTCGGTGGAGTTCGCTGCGTACTGCGCGGATCAAGGTGTGGTGCGACACCACACTGCACCATACTCGCCACAGCAGAATGGCATGGTAGAGCGGTGGAACCAGACAATTGTCGGCATGACTCGATCCATGATGAAGGCCAAGAGCATGCCGGCAAGGTTCTGGGGTGAGGCGGTGACCACCGCGCGCCCACAAAGGCCCTGAAGGGCGTGACGCCATTTGAAGCTTGGTATGGGCGCAAGCCGAGCATGTCCTTCCTCCGGACATTCAGCTGCATCGGCCACGTCAGGAAGACAAAGCCGGTCCTCACCAAGCTAGAGGACAAGAGCACACCGATGGTGCTCCTAGGCTACGAGGAAGGTACCAAGGCGTACTGGCTCTACGACCCACACGGAGGCAAGGTAGTTGTCTCGCGCGACGTCGTGTTCGATGAGAAGGCGGCTTGGGACTAGGACAGCCCAGGCACGGGGGAAGCTGGTGGCTTCACTAGCACCTTCGTCGTCGAGCACTTGGTCATCCACGGTGGTGGAGACGCTAGAGAGGAGGTGCTGACCACTCCAGCAATAGAGCTGACCACTCCTGGGATGGTTCCAAGCACTCTAGGAGGGGTGCCAAGCACTCCAGGAGTGGTGCCAGGCGGTCCTACAGTGGTGCCGACCACTCCAGGACGGGTGCCGAACGCTCCTGTAGCAGAGCCGAGAGGTCTTGAAGTGGTGCCTACAACTAGAAGACTGGTGCCGAGCACTCTAGGAGGGGTGCCGAGCACTATAGGAGTGGTGTCGAGCACTGCAGCCGGGGTGCCGAGCACTCCAGGTGTTGTACCGACCACTCCGATGGAACAGGGGACTCCATCGACGTCGATCGAGTTCGCCTCACCTCCAAGCGACATCACAGAGTTCGTGGATGCTTTCCATGACGGTGAGAAGGTGTGGTTCCACTGGCTAGACGACATCGTCGGTGTCATAGGGTCCTTAGGCCTAGCGGGTCGGCTGCTCAATGACCCAGAGCTGCTTCTCGTCAGTGCAGAGGAACAACCCACGTTCGCGCTGACCGAGCGCGATGCAGATTGGCGACGAGCGATGCTGGAGGAGAAGAAGGTGATCGTGGAAAATGAGACTTGGGAGCTCATCGATCCACCTCCAGGATGCCATCCGATCGGACTGAAGTGGGTGCACAAGATCAAGCGGGACGAGCGCGGTGCCATTGTCAAGCACAAGACGCGTCTCGTCACCCGAGGCTTTGTCCAGCGCAAGGGCATCAACTTTGAGGAAGTCTTTGCGCCGGTAGCGCACATAGAGTCTATCCGACTGTTGTTGGCTTTGGCAGCAGCGAAGGATTGGCACGTTCATCACCTTGACGTAAAATCAGCCTTCCTCAACGGTGAGCTGGCGGAGACGGTCTTCATGAGGCAACCTCCGGGTTTCGCTATCAATAGAGCGGAGCATAGGGTGCTCTGACTGCGCAAGGCACTCTATGAGCTGTGGTAGGCCCCATGAGCATGGAACGCCAAGCTTGACGCCACGCTGGGCGAGCTTGGGTTCATGCCGTGTGCAACCGAGCACGCGCTATACATGATACAACGGGGGAAAGAGGAGCTCGACGTCGGCGTGTATGTGGATGACTTGATAGTCACCGGTGCGCGTACGAAGGACATCGTCAGCTTCAAGCGCGAGATAGCTGCTCGTTTTTTAATGAGCGATCTCGGCGCGCTCTCCTACTACCTCGGCATCGAGGTGAGATGGGGGAAGGAGGCGCTCATGCTCGGTCAGAGCGCATACGCCTCGAAGCTATTGGAGCGGAGCGGCATGGCTAAGTGCAAGCCGTACGTGACTCCGATGGAGGAGCGGCTGAAGCTGACGAAGGCCAGTACCGCGGCGAGGGTAGATGCAACACTCTACCGGAGCATCGGGCGTGTTCGGCTGGCTTAAAGCCAGCTGGCTGGCTTGTTCCGCCACTCACGAAATCACTGTTCATGTCCTGCCAGAACAGTATTTTTCTCTCACAACAATCAGCCGGAACAGTATTTTTCAGTCCTGCCAAACAGGGCAATCGTCGATGATCTGCGCTACCTGGTCCACACGAGGTCGGACATTGCGTTCGCCATGGGCTACGTCAGCCGTTTCATGGAGGATCCTCGAGAGAATCACTGGGCCACGGTGAAGCGGTTGTTGTGCTACGTCAAGGGGACGGTGGATCAAGGGATCGTCTTCTCCAAGACCGGCGAAAGTGGGCTGCAGCTCACTGTGTTCAGCGTTGCAGACATGGCGGGAGACATCGACGGACGGCGAAGCATCCCTGGCGTGCTCGTCTTCCTCGGGTCGGCTTCAATCTCATGGTTGTGGCTGAAATGGAAGGTGGTGGCGTTGTCCACGTGCGAGGCAGAGTACGTGACGACAGCCACAGCGACGTGCCAAGCTGTGTGGCTGCGCCAGCTGCTGGGCGAGTTGACCGGTGTGGAAGCTCACCCACCAGCACTGATGGTGGACAACCAGTCCGCCATCGCCCTCGCGAAGAATCCGGTTCTCCACGATCGGAGCAAGCACATCGACATCAAGTTCTACTTCCTCAGGGACTGTGTCGATGGGTGGCAGATCGTCATCGAGTTTGTCGAAACTGGTCGGTAACTCGCGGAAGTCCTCACCAAGCCGCTCGGCCGTCTTCGGTTCACGGAGCTGAAGAAGATAATCGGTATGGTGGAGGTTCTAGGGTTAGTAGCATGATTAGGAGAAGAATTGTAAAGTAATCTGCTGCTCTCCCATCTCTGAACGCGCGGCAGGGGCAGGCGCCGAAAGGGCTCCCTACTGCTGCACTGTAGCCGCGGTAGGGGCAGACGCCAAAGTCAGTCCTGCTGTCACATCTAGTCACTGTAGCAGCATGGTAGCCTAGCATGTCTGTGTAGTAGGATTAGATGGGTAGAGTTGTATATGTAGCTTCCCACTGCAACTCAGTAAAGTGAGCGGGTTCAGTTTTGTCATCTCCTCTATAGAGCTCCGACCAACGCTAGTGCTTGTGATGTGTGTGCGCTCTGTTCTCCCTCCCTTCTTCTATTTCTAGCCATAGTGTGTGGTCGGCAACGTCGGTGAGCGGTCGGCTCACCCGTGCGGGAGATCCCGGTTGCACTTCAATCGAACCTCTCAAACCTAACAACACATCAACGGTTAGGACTTAGGACTGCACATATATGCATGTTTAATTTTGTGGACTGACGTTCATGTTTCAGTAGAAGTTCAGTCGGTACAACACTGACCCCAGGCAGGCTGCGAGGACGAAGATGAAGCCAGGGCAAAGATTAGGCATGGCGGAGGCGATCGCCGGCGAGGTGCGTGCCACACCGAGCATCACGATGACTTTGGTATATTGACACCCTACACAATATGGGATGGAACTTCAGACTTGTTCCATGAAGTGCCTAGCAGCCACCCACATACGACGTACGTACCTCTCGAGGGCGAGAGCGAAGGGGAGGACCACGATGGAGGAAGCGGCGCAGGCGACGACGGTGATGAAGAGGGAGGGCACGCCGGCGGCGAGCAGGGCGCTGAGGAACATCATGTAGAGGCCGTAGATGCACTGCACGGCGAAGAGGCCACATATGGTGACCACGTCGGAGCACGACATCGACATCGACACGCCGCCGCAGCACAGCATCCTCCTTGATTGATCCATGATGATACTACTTATCAGGACTCTAGTACTAGTACGTATACAACTCAGCTGCATCAGTATACGCGCGTGTGTCAGTGAGTGTGCTGGGACAAGTATATATATGTGTGTAACGTAACAGCAGGCACGATGATACGCTAGCTCGTTCTCCAGTGAGCAAGCAGGTAAGAAATGTCAGCAGTAGCAGCAGCGGCAGATTCCGGACGAAAACTTGGATTTGGATGTCAGAATCCTCGGAAATGCTGCTGGGTCGTCCGCGTAATTGGTGGCGGGCGGCGAACTCAGGTGCTCCGACACATGTGCATGTGTGCATGCGAGAAGCGCCGACGTGGCAGCACCAAACGTGGCGCCGCGAGGGTGGCCCCACGGACCATGGTTCATTCTGCCCACTCCTTGTCCTGGGAGCGGCACCTTTCTGGAGAATGATGAATGGATCACTGCTGCTGCATCCTGCCATCCACAGATGTATTCTGCATCGGCCGCACCATGCCCCAGCAGTCCAGATCAGAACTCAAAACCCGTGTGATTCAGTGGCCAATGAGTGAACATCGCGGCCTCTTCATTCGGATTTCACGATTTCACCAGAATGAGCTTGTGTATTTGGTGGTCTGGTCATGCAAGGTGGCAGACCCCAATTGTGATCAAGATCAATATTTGACTAGGAGTAACAAGAAGCAAATCTTTTGTATTTATGTACATTCCAGTATCAATCATTGTTTCAATCTACGACATAGCTTACTGTATAGTCCATGCAGCTCATTGTCACATGCAAGTATGCAACCATGCTAACATTCCGGCGGTCAATACAAGCAGAGAAACAGACAGCACCCACGGCAGCGTCAGATGTAATCGCCCTGTACAATCTTTCTTGCGATGTACTTCCCCAAGTAATCGAACCCGTGGGAGTAGAGAGCTTCGATGTCTGCACGCTTGCCCCTCTCCACCATCAGTGTCAGCTCAGCTCGGTGACTCTCCTGCAGCCGAAAACCACCATAAATCATATGCAGACATATAGGCGCCTTAAGCTAAATTTTATGGTGTCACAAGGCCAAATGATAAAGCATCAGGATACCGACAGTCCCCCTGCTGCTGTACTGGGAACAATACTTTATTATTTAACGATGTCAGGTCATCCTTAATGTATGACAATGTTTATTATTGGCCATGAAGCTATTAGTTCCATATTCAGATTGGTCAGATACAAACATTAGATTCTGGGCAATTAAGCTTTTCCATGCCTGATGAAATTAAGGTAGCACGTAATTCCTACTTGGCGCAGTCCAACACTGATAACATTTTGCAATGCAAATTATGCTTGCAAGAGTTTCATATAAAATCTGCACTAGCAGCATTCATTGGCCATTAGATTGCAATTTTTTCCGGTAACTTTTGCGCGGTATTCTAGCAGGTAGTTCTCACACCGCAGGTACATGGTCCCAAAGATAAATAATGTTTAAAAAAAACAACAACAACAACATAGCCTTTCAGTCCCAAACAAGTTGAGGTAGGCTAGAGTTGAAATCCACCAATATCCCCAAGTCACGGTTCAGGCACTTCAATAGCTGCTTTCCAAGTACTCCTATTCAAACATAGATCTCTAAGTATATCCCAAGCTTTCAAATCTCTTTTTATTGCCTCCCCCATGTCAATTTCGGTCTTTCTCTAACTCTCCTCATATTATTAGCTTGGCTTAGGACTCCATAATGTACTGGTGCCTCTTAAGGTCTCCTTTGGACATGGTCAAACCATCTCAACCAATGTTGGACAAGTTTTTCTTCCATTGGTGCTACCTCTAGGCGATCACGTATATCATCGTTCCGAACTCGGTCTATTCTTGTGTGACCGCAAATCCATCGCAACATACGTATTTCTGCAATGCAACACTCAGTTGTTGAACATGTCGAATCTTTGTAGGCTAACATTCTGCTCCATACAGCATAGCCGGTCTAATCGTCGTTTTATAGAACTTGCCTTTTAGCTTTTGTGGTACCCTCTTGTCACAGAGAATGCCAGAAGCTTGTCGCCACTTGATCTACCCTGCTTTGATTCTATGGCTAACGTCCGCATCAATATCTCCATCCCTCTTTAGCATCGATCCCAGATACCAAAAGGTATCCTTCTTAGGCACTACTTGACCTTCCAAACTCACATCTCCCTACTCCTGTACAACTCCGCCAAAGTTGCATCTCGTGTATTCGGTTTTAGTTCTGCTCAATCTAAAACCTTTAGACTCAAGCGTCTGCAGCCATAACTCTAGTTTTCTATTTACTCTCGCCTGCCTTTCGTCCACTAACACTACATAAATAATATTAAAACATACTAACTTTTTACTGCATGGCCCCAATTGTATAATCTCGCAGCTTCCGACATAACAGCATTACTGGAAAATTGAGAAGCCAAATACACACCTGTAGGAACTTCGATGACAGCAAGCTTTTGGCAATCTGCAAATCACGTGGCTTCAGCACTTGAAAGGCACTCTCAGGTATAAGCTGCAGATCATCTCCTCTCATCCCAAGCCATTTCACGTTGCAGGCTGAAAATGAAGAACAAAATTCACATGGTTCGGCAACTTGCGCAGAAGGGTCTGATGATCACCCAAATAAAGTACCATATCTGTATGACTCCAGACCCATTGATATGCTTCCATATTTGTAAGTGCACATTATAGCAAGCCCTGCTGGGTTCCTGAAAAAACAAATCAATGCTATCTAAAATGGTTCAAAGGATATCAGTCAGTTATACCATATATTAATGAGCACAGGAGAGGGCTTAACCAATCCACTAATGCAAAAATCGGCATATTTGGAAATGTCTGGCTCAGTCGATGCAAGATAAACCTGTATCGTAACAGCAAAGATAAAAGGGATAAATACATCAGATAACCAAATATTGCCAACATTATCATAAAGAAATTGGATGCAAACTTGCTCTGTTACATAAGCAAGTAAGAACTACATAAGAAAAAGAAAGGCTTGAACTGGAGGTACACAACCTTGTCGCAATATCAGGATATCCTTTGGCAGTGATCAGGATACAAGGGAGCTGATTATACAAGCGGTCTTCAGCCAGCCTCTGAAATATGGCATCCTATTTCAAGTAAGTGAACTATAAACAAGAAGGATATACTATAGAAGACAAACCATTACTAGATTATGGCAGGAAGATTGGTACCTTCTCCACCACAATGGTATACCGAGCATCTGAAGACAAATTTAATTTGCTCAACAGGTTCAGGTCCCCAGTAATTGCATGCCCTGAAGCTCCAAGAATGGAGCAGTCAATCTGATCTTCATCTGGTTCCTAAGGTAGTTCAAACATGCAGTTTAGGTGCTTTGTGAAAAGACAAACAAGAGTTCGTCATGTATTTCCTCAACAGATAATCCAATAGTCAAGACATATTTTGACATATCATGGAGCAGACATGCAACACAAGGCGCCCAATCAGTGCCCCTCTGCTTGATGCCATGACTCCTAGGCTCTGCCTTGTACACCGGAGCAAGGAAACAACATCTGCACATGAACAGGGGACCAAATCTGATTACAACAAAACTACACATTAGTCAAACAAGAATCAAATGGGTTGGGGGAATTTTCATCCACCTTGAATGGCTTGGTTGACATGACGTTGACAACTGAAGTACTTGGGTGAGTCCGACAGGAGCTTGTAGAACAACTCCCGTTGGTGGACCAGCTTCCCCTCCCCCAAGATCTTGTAGGACATCTCCATGACCTTCCATACTATCCAACAATAAATGGCTATTTTAGCAGCAGAACAAATGGCTGAGGATAATTTCGGTCCGGTGGTACTAAAGGAACAAATAGCAACCTCTTAAAAATGCCTTTGGATTGTGCATCAGAGACCTCTTGCAGAAGGTGTGTGAGAGATAAACTGACGAAACGTCGTTCAGCAACCCGCTGCGCAGGCTGCAGTTGGCAGAGTTCCGGCTAATCTGCCATTGGAAAAGCAATTCATTCAGAATGTTTTGCACTTGCACTGTTACACACTGGATTGGTCGGTGCTACATACAATTCTCAATACATTTTGACATGGTCATCAGAACTGGAGTCCTACAGCTCGCAATAATTGATGAGGAATTGTGATAAATGGGCTAGGGACCAAAATACAGTGTTATCCACATGGGTGAAGCACGCAGAACCATAACCGCAGATCGCAGTAAGAGAGGAATGTGGGGAGTCGGTTTGGCAACTGGTGTACCAGAGGAAGGACGGAGATGGCCGGCGAGGAGGGGGAGGCGAGCGCGGCGAGGAAGTTGAGCACGGCCACCTCGATCCTTGCCCGGACCTATCGACAACGAAATAGGACTCGTGAGTCACCACAACAAAAGGCGCCGGAGGAAGAAATGGGTGAGGCGGAGAAAGCGCTAGACCTCAGGCGGCGCGAGGATGTCAGCGGAGCAGAGACGGCTGTCAACGCCGAAGAGCGACGCCGCCGCCACGTTCGCCTCCGCCATCGGTGGACACGCTGCGGCTCGCGGCGGAGGCGAGCCGCCAAGTTGTGTGCTGCAGGCACTGGCAAATGGGCTGGGCTGAGCTTGGGAAATGAGAGTCCAGTCTCCGAGAATCTGTATCTGGGCTCGCAGTAGTATGGGCCCCCACACCTCCACGTGGAAAGGAAACGTCTCCCTCTCCGTCCTGGGATGGAAACGGAACAGGCATGGAATCCAATCATCCAGATATCACTCTTTTATCAAAAAAAATCCAGATATCACTCTTTTACCACATTATAGTCCGGATTTGAATTCGGATACGAATATTCTTGAATGCGAGTACAAAATGGATGGTCCGAATTCGGATTTACCATCGGATATTTACTTAGATTCAGCACGAAGCGAATATCCTAAAATTCAACCATGATCAACATAACTCAGTGCAAGTTCACAGATAATCGAAGTGAACTCGAAGTACACTCCCAATAATACAGTGCCAAATCAAAGTGA